TTAATAGCTTCCAGGCCTCAAGAAATCTCTGTGCTGCTGCCAGAGTTATCTGCAAAGGAGGGGGAAGAGCAGGCCTCGACTTTTTTATGTGACTAAATTATCCACCATCTGTAGCAAAGCTGTTGCCACATGGCTGTGTAAGAAAATGGGAGGCCCTTAACTAGGATAGGTTGGTTTGGGAATCACAGAAGAGGTGGGAGAGGCTTAAGAAAGAACATGCAGATATAAGATTTCTTAAGAAAGTTTATTTTCAATTCTGTGCACTTATGAAAATAAAATGATTGGAGCTGTGAGGAAGAGAACATGAACTATTTTAAATACTGCACAGGGTTATAGCTTTTATTTATATTCCCTTTGTTTAAACTTTGATCAAGTGGTACTTTGGTGGGGCTTGTAGTAAGCATCAGGTTTAGCATTTCACTGCTCAGAAATTATGGCTTTCAATGCTTTTAGCAGTTGTTTTCCAGATGAATAGCCCGTGTTTTTGCTACAGCATTTCGTAAAACTACAAGAGAATAGGATTATTTTTATTCTATTATAACCAAAATGTGGTTTAAAAATGAACTTTCAGCTGTCTTTATATTCTGTTCTGCTTTTACTCTGCTATCCTCAGAGAAAAGTGTGCATTTTTACAATGCCTCTCACTCTCCCCTCTTGAGAAGATGCCATTATTTTTGGACTGTTTCCCTTCTACAAAGTTTGAGACTTTATTTTGTTTGTTTGGGAGTTTTTTGTTTTGTTCCGTTTTTTTTTTTTATTTTGGTAGTTTCAAGTCAATTAGTTACCACTAAAAATGTAGACATTGGAATTTGATTGATATGTTTCTGTTCTGTGGTTCTTCCTCTGCAATTTGAAAAATTAAAAAAAACCCAAACCCCTGCAACTGTGTTTCTAAGGTCCTGGAACTTAATAATCTCATGCAGAAGAGCAGATAAAGCCTGGCTGGATCGCAGATTTATGGGATTTGGTATCCTGGTGGTCAATAAACTGGACGAGACACCACGATCAGTGTGTGATAAAGGTCAAAAGCATTGAGCAGCATTAGAGTGTTCCTGAAAGCTCCCAACACACTGGTCTTGGCAAACTGATTTTTTTCTTTACTTAGAGAAGTTGTTTATTTTCATCAGACACACTTACAAGCTGTCATGGTTTTTTAGTAGTTTGCCAAAATAAAGCACAAAATGGAGTATCAGTAATATTTTTAACCTTTTCTAGAGTGTTTTAAAATAACTGGGTAACAGAGTAAAAGCCAAGTGTGAGTTACCATTAAGGGCTTTGGATCTCATCTTTGAAACCAAGCCATAAGTCTATAAGTAGCCATCTAATTTCTCATGGCAAGCTTATCAAAAGTTAGTGATAGACATTCAAATTTTAACTTTTTAATTTGATACTGATCATAAAAATAATAGTTTTGAGCAGCAATATCAGATATGGGAGGAAACTTCAGTTGCACAGAGAGGCTGGGGAGTCTCCATCCATGGAGATATCATGAAGCTTTCTGGACATGGTCAGCTGGTCCTGATGGCCCTGCTTTAGCTGGGGTTTGGTCCTCCTGATGACCTCCACTCATGCCCTCCAACCTCAGATTTTGTTCCATTTGATTGCAAATGTGCTTTGCAGGATTTGATCAGTTTACTCTCAGATCTGAGGTTATAAATGTATTATTAAATTAATTACTCAGTGGCAAATCATAATTTGGAGTTCTGTAGTTGAAGGTGTAGTTTTCCTGGTTTTGATGTGCGAATACTTTTCGTGATCCTTAGAAAAGCGGAATTTTCTATGGGGTGGTTAGTGTCTTAGATTACTAATTTCTGACATTTGCTTAATGATGTAATCATACAAGGTTCATAAAAAGACTAGTGTTGTTGCTTCAGGTGTTCCCCCTTCTCACTCTGAATTTTAATGCATAGCTGTAATAATCATAAATGTAATATCCTCACTTGGGAAATGGCCAGAAGATCCAAGTTGTGGCAGATAAAATGGGTTTGATCTCAGCTCTCACTGCTCCAGGACACGAGAAATCCCTTTAGGCTAGAGCTGTTCTCCCTGTGTGATCTGTCTAATCTGTTCTCCTGCTGCAGGGACCTCAGGAAGATACTTTCTTTCATGGTAAATGTTGGCAGAGAGAGAAACACTTGCTTTTTTAGGTCAACAGTATCTAAATTGTTACTGATTTTACATCTTTTGAAAGACTGGTTACATTGTGCCTTCCTTTAGGACTTGGTGGGGATCTCCCAAACTGTGGTTAGAGAAGACTTCATGTGATCTATGAATTACACTAAGTTCATTTGTATTGAAGGTGCACTGTTAAAAGATGCTGGGTAGAATTTTCTTAGTAGAGAAATGATGAAATTATCATACCTTTTTAAGCTATGCTAATGTAGCATTTGAGTCGTGTTGGCTAACAATGGACAATGTTGTTTTTTAGGTTTTTTTTGTTTTTTTTTTTTAGATTTCAGTAAACTCTTAGAACTGTCCTTTTCATCAAGTCAAAATATAAAAATATATTTTTAAGTAAAGCCTTTGAATTCTTGTCTAACCTGTGATATTTAGGAGTTTTTACCGACATTGTGGCAGGGCAGCATTTCATGGCAATCCAAGAAAGATGTGGAAGTAGAAACAGCATTAGCACTGGAGAAAAATTAATTTCAAAAGCAACCCAAAACATTTAGTGTATTTTATTCCTTGTATTTACCTTTTCCTTTTTTTTTTAAGTGGATGTAAGGCAATAGGTAACTGTACCAAAATCTAATTTTAATTTACCCAAATTCTATAATAGTCAAAAAGTGTGTGCTGATAAGTGTTGAATGTTTCAAACACTGATCTGAAAACATTAATGAAGTTTATGTTCCTTTACAGTTAGATACAGGTTCAAGCTAACAGCTTGGTAACTTCTATATAAACTTAATGAGACACTGCTGCATTCTTTTTTCTTTCATTTTTAATGAACAATTTCCTTTCAAAATTGCATAAACTGCACAAGTCTAGTGTATAACATGAAGAACTTTATTGTCCTTTTAATCACTGGAACTCATGTAGACACCCAGAAGCAATATTAAGATTTTCCTGTCATTTGGGTTATTATACTCCTTAGTCTTACTGTCCTGAAAATCTCTTCTTTCTGAATCAGTGATGAAGAACGCTACAGATACAGAGACTATGCAGAGAGGGGCTACGACCGCCATAGGACAAGTAGAGAGAAAGAAGACAGACACAGAGACAGGAGACACAGAGAGAAAGAAGAGACTCGACACAAGTCATCTCGAAGGTTTGATTTCTCTTTTTTTTTAATAGGATATGAAAGACTTGCCCCGTTAAAAAAAAAAACAAAACAAAAACAAACAAACAAAAAACCCAAACAAAAAAACCCCAAACTTTTAAAAGAACCCCAAACAAACGGAGTTTTGTGGAAAGACTGTAAACACTTGAATGTGCTGCTTGGAACAAGTCTGCCATCTAAAATGCAGACAGGCAAAAAGCAATATTGACCCTGGGTAACCTCATATTGAATGATGTATGGTGACAGTCAGTATGTGAACAGAAATTAGGACATTGGGGAAAGAAGGGTAAAAATGGTGAGTCAGAAAGAGGTGGAATGGAGCAGACATTCAGCAGCATGAACAGAACAACTCAACAGTCATTCTCAGTAAGTAATATAATCCTCACAGTCACTTGATAGAAATTGTTCCACATGATCCATTTTAAGTTACAAATAAAAGTCAAGCCCAGAAAATGGGGTCAACAAAAAAGTGAAATTATTAAGGATTGCCAATAGGTACCTGACATTGTTAAAAGTATCGCTATTAGAATATGGGTTACAAATGTGAAAAATCATTCCATTTTCCCCACAAAAAGTACAGGATGGATAGATATACGTTCCATTCCAGGAAAAATTCAGTTGTGCACTGACATGCAAAAACTGAGTTGGGAGCAGATGGCAGTTTTCAAATATGAATACAGAAGCTTTTTTTTTTGGTACTTTGTAATTAAATAGGGCTTGAAGTGTCAAGTGTTTGAGGCATGTTTTCCCTCTATTTAGTAACAGCAGACGTCGTCACGACAGTGAAGAAGGGGATAGCCACAGAAGGCACAAACACAAGAAGTCCAAAAGAAGCAAAGAAGGAAAAGAAGCCAGTGGTGAACCTGCTCCTGAACAGGAAAACACTGAAGCTGCCCCTGTGGAATAGGCCTGTGTGATTTTTGCCTACTTGCATATATATTAGTGCCAGAAATAGATTACTATAAATCTTGTTATTTTTCTGGGAATTATAATAATTTGCTCTTAATCTTGTTCTGTTAGTTTGAAATCAAAGGTTACTTTGGTTTTTTTTGAAAATAAAAGAACGAATTTTTCATGTTAAGATTCTTGGACTGGTTTTGTCTTTTAAGAAACAGTGAAAAAACATCTTACAGCTAGAGGCTTATGCTCTTACAATATAAGTAGGGCTTAAATTCTTTGTATTAAATTGTCTCCTTTTTTCATAAGCCAATGGGAAGGTCATTATTTTACTGACTTCAGAAAACAGTGTGCATTCATTTTGTTATATACTCAACATCTGGAACAGTGTGGGTTTAGCATAGCTTTTGGAGTCATATTTGGAAAGGTCATCCTTTACTACAGGGACACACAGGAACTGCAGGCTCTTCAAAATCCTTGTAATAATGTGAAGCAAAACAAAAAGAAAAACTAGAGAAAGTGGGAAAGGTGCTGATTGTTCTTAGTTGAATGGAACACTGAGCATGGTGATGATACACTTGGTAATTATGTCTGGTTTGTGTAGGTGCATAAGGATGAAATTAAGCTGGATAATCATTCCTGCTGCTTTTCAGTGGCTTAAGAGAGAGTTCATTTTAGTCTTTGTTCTAGGGGAACAGCTGCCCTTAACATGATAAAGATTAACAAACATATCCTCTTCCTACTGCAAGCTTGTGAGATAAAAACAAGACTGTGGAGCATGAGTAATTTGCAGAGAAAGACAAAGGACTATTTTAAGAGATACAAGACCATCATCACTTTCAGATTTACTTAATTCAGAACAGTATCAAGTGTGATTGATAAGGCAGTCCCACAAAAATATTACAGCTATTCAAAAGACTTACTTGATGGCATTAGCAGGATGCAGTGTACTTCCTTGAAAGTAATATTCTATATAAAAATCCCAGATTTAATAGTATTAATCAGAACAAACCAGGGAAACGAGGTAATTAGGTTTTGGATGAAAATAATGTCTGTACAAGTACACAGTTACAATTATTTTTAATTATTTTAGAAATTTCATTCACAGTTTTACAGACTAACAAACAGTACTTGAAAGTCTTGAAAATACCAGCTTCATGCTGACCATGAAAAGAGACACATAATCAAAGTGCTATTAACGTGTTGGATAAAAACCTTCACCTGATTATTGCAACTAGAAAAATTGCAAGAAATATTTTCATAAGTTATTCAAGATTTTCTTTTTGTAAATCAAAATAAAGTAGGTGAGCAGAAGCTGTTGCTCCTTAAATTTAATTATTATTATAATGCATTAAATAGATATATNCAACAAAAAACCCTTAAGAACATAGGGAAGGAAGGACTTAAGTCTGTAGCTTGGATCACTCTGAAGTGATTTTCTGATGGGTGTCACTGCTTTGCCTAAACTTTCTTGACATGCAGGTTGAAATTTCACAAGCCTTTTCTTTATAAATACATACTTGACCCTCCCAGCAAAGACTGATGTTCCTTTTTTCAATTTTTTTCCCCATGTTAAGATACTTGTCATACTCTCCATGAAGACTTGTTTTATAAAAATGTGCCAGGCCAGGACACAATTGTGAGAGTAATTTTTCCTTTTAGTTCTTTGAGCATCCTTGCCAAGCAGGCATGCATCATTCCTGATGTGCTCCTGCCGTTGACAGCAAGGAGGATGTCACCACATCTGAAAAAACAAATGCAAGACAACAATTAAACAAGGTGACTTCTTATCTTAGATGTTTTCAAATGCCAAAGCACATTCTTAAGCTGGGGGAAGGGGTAGAAATGAGTATTATGGTTCTTTCTCTGGCTAACTACTGTTCATGGATAACAGAATAAAGCAGGTGAAAATACCTCACCTGTTTGGGTTTCTTACAAATTTGTAATTAATTAGACATATTTGAAAGAAAACATGATCTAGTTCTTCTGATGAATCATCATCGCAGAATCATAGAAGGGCTTTGGTTGAAGGAACTTCAAAGAAGGGACACTTTCTACTAGACCAGGTTGCTCAAAGCCCCAGCTAACCTGTCTTTGAATAAAGAGGAGGCATCCACAACTTCTCTGGGTGACCTGTTTCAGAGTCTCACCACCCTCACATTAAATAATTCCTTCTTAATTAAAAAAAAAAAAAAAAAAATTAAATTTTAGTTTTAAAATTTTAATTAAATAATTTCTTTCTTTTCTTCCAGTCTAAATCTCCTATCTTTCAATTTAAAGCCATTGTGCCTTGTTCTAGCTCTACATGCCCATGTAAAAAGTCCCTTTCCAGCTTTCCTGTAGCCCTCTTTATATACTAGAATGATCGATGTTCTGAACAACTGTACCTTTTAAGCCTTGTTAATTGATGTTTGTGCCATGATTGTGCATTTACTCTCTTCAAATGTATTGGTGTTTGCAGGGAAGGCATTTGGTTGGGATGTTTAGAACTGGATATCTGTTTAGAACTGGAAATCTCTGTGCTGGCATGCTTTGTACCACCCCAGAGATCAAACTGACTCTTCCTTTAGCTTACTCACATACTAGTGGATTGCTAGACATCTGAAAACATTCTGATACAAGGCAGATCTGTTAAACTTGTGTCCTGTTTCCAGATCTCCCAAAGTTAGTTAGTTAGTCCTTCCCCCCTCCCTGCCACTGCCTTAATGAAAACATGTTTTTTAAAAACCCCCGCAAGTTAACCAAAAGAAAAACTTAACTTAAATGCTACTTTTTTTTAAGATAATCATCATTACCTAATTCTACCATCATTATATGCTGGTGTTCCCCCAACGATGGATTTGATAAAGAATGGTTTGTTCCCAGTATGTTCTTCATAACCTCCTACAATGCTGAAGCCAAGACTTCCAGATGTATTTCTTCGTAATACAATTTCTTTGCAGCTGTACAAATACCTGAAATAAACCAGTTTAATTAGATGTCTTATAGTTAACTTTAGATTCTGATGAACCATTAATAATGAATCTGCCTTTTCATGCACCCATAGAGTGTTTTTAAGAGTTAAAGTAGTGCCATCTTTCCACTGTATTAAGCACCTACATTTCTCTTCTGTTTCTGTAGTAGTGCTCTCCTGTTATTACCAGATAACCAATTATCCCAAAAGTAAAATTAGTAGATAGTCTTGGGCTAAAGTATGAAATAAGTTTTTTAATAGGGTAGAAATCTGTGCAAATGATCTAGTTGTGATGGAGAAAAGCATTTAAGCCTGGAATTAATGTTTGTAAACCAGCAATTCAAAAAGCTGCATTTCTTCTACCTTGTACAGCCCAATGACTTGCTTATCTTCCAGATATGAGCCTGTGTGTGATTAATTATGTCAAAATGCTCAGGCACTTACTACTGTGGTGCATGTCAAAGTGAAATAATGTTAAGGTCAATGGAATGAGCTACAAAAATGACAGATGACACAAAGACCGGTATTGGTGGAATTAGGGATCCTGGGCTTTTCTTGAGTAACCTGGTAAGTTACAGCATGGAAGATGAGAGAATCTTATCCATGTGAGTCAGTGCTTTGGAGCTTGTCCTTACTGTAATTATTAACACAAGATTTTGTAGTAAGACAATTGAAATCTGCTACTTCCTCCATTTGTTTTGAATGTATTTTATGGTACTGTATCTTATGCTAATCAAAGCTTAGGTTCCAAAACTAGGAATAGGGGAAAACAACAGTAGTGGTTTTAGACTCTTAAATGTTGCCTAATGCTCTGAGTACATTAATTTCTGTTTCTTTTTTTTTTTTAACCAAATTAATTCCATTTGTTAGAGAGTGAGTGATAGAAATTTCTATCCATAATACTTAACCAACTTATCATCAGTGGTGTCCCCAGGAATGATTGAAATTACTGAATGACTAAAAATGTATTTGCTACTCCAAGTCTTAAAATACATGCTGACCTACAGCAGGCAACTGTTACAAGCTCTATTCTGAGAGTTTTTAGGTTTCTAAGAAATACCTGACACTTCTGTAGGAGGATAAATAGCCTTTATCTTAAAAACTGATATGCCTAGTTTAAAAATTCTGTTTTAAATAGTGCATTTGCTATCTTTCACAGCAGTAATATTAGATTAGTCCCCCAGGGCCTACAGATACTCACCTGCTGCCAGGATGGTAGGTATGTAATATTTGCACAGGAATTCACTGGTTGCTAATGTAAGAAACAGGTGACATTTGCTTCTTCCTTAGCAGACAGACTTTATTACTTTACCATCTGTGGATTTCTTCAACGTGCAAAATCACTTAAACCCTCTATGTTTAATGGTACTTATCAAGGACATGACCAAGCAGTGCCAGGTTCAGCCATTAGCACTATAATTCAGTGTTGATTTTGGGGCAGAGGTATCTGCTGCCCAGTGCTACACTCACTGCCTAAAGGGGCACATTCCCAAAACTGAAAGGTAATCAGCTAAATCCTAATGCCATAGAAAAGGAGTGGGCAAGCAGGTAGAGACAGGAGGATAAAAGGCAGTGAAGCTAAACGTGCCTTATGTACATTCTATACATGCAATCTATAGGTTATTAGTTGCATGGTCTCCATCAGTCCAGAAAGCATAAACACCTATTTGCTGTCAAAGTGTGCGATAAATTTAAGTAAAATAGACACAGCATAATAGCATTAGGATTTTTCTCTCTGCCCGTGCAGAGAAAACACATGGAAACCATGGAACAGCAGAGAGCAACCATTCTTTTGTGACTCCAAGCCCCTGTACTGCCTTTTGCCTTACCAAAGGGACTGGTGTAACCTGCTGTGACAAGAAGGCAGTGGAGGCATGGAAGTCAGAAGAGGTGCTGGTGTGATGGTCAGTTTGTGAAAAGGGGAGAAAGGGAGTTTCTCAAAGTGTTTACAAGCTTGTCTTCTTTGGTTCCCAATACCCAAATTGGTAATTAAATCTTTTCAGTTCTGAAAGCCAAGACTGCTTTGGCCAGGACAATAATGAGTGAGGGATTTCCCTGTCTTTTGACCAATAAGTTTACTTGTTCTTCCCATTTTCAATCACCCTGCTGTGGGTGTTGGTGCAGGCAGGTCCAACCCATGACGACAGCCACAACTAGAAATTGACTCTTTTAAGAGTAAGAGTATCTAGAATGTGTTTATGGCTTTAACTCGATGTTTTCCTATCTCCATCCTATGGGATAGAGGCATAAGCATGGCAGGGCATCATCCATCAGCTGTTTGTCAGCGCTGTCACAACTGTGAAAAGGATGCTGGCAGGCAAAAGCTGAGCTGTATGTAATGCAGTTACAGCTTGCTCCAAACAGTTCAGTGTCTAAGCAGAGATGCCTGCTCTGCCTAAGCAAAGAGCAGCCCACTCCAAGGGAGTCCATTCTTTTAGGGCTGTTTAATCATAAAGACAAGCTACAAAGTACCACAGGAAAAAAAAATCATATGAAGATTCTTAGTGTGTTTGAGTAGCTTATGTTTCTGTGATAATGAAAGTCTCAGTCTGGGTGCTTTGACCCAGTCAAACTGCTGTAACCCATTAAACTGCAACTAGTCTGAGGAGAACCATCTCCTTGGAAGAGAACAGCTCACAGTCTCCTGCCTTTATCACTAAATACTCCAGAAGATGAGGATAAGGAATAATTTATGTGTGAACCTGCCTCAGATACAAGATTTGGGGATATATAGTGTCTACCCACAGGGTCCTATCCTAAGCAATACTACAACTAAGCATCAGTTACTGATGCGTGAGGAATTTAAAAGTGCCTGTTTTCAAGTACTTAAATGTAAAATTCCCTGCTGATTTTCATGAAGCACAAGTAGCCTTATGCTCTAGGAATGAAAACCAGCCCAACTGCAGGAGGATTTCAGCAACAGCAGCTATGAAAAGGATAACTCTCTCCTCCCACCCCATTACAGTACACAAATGGCAGTCGAGTAAGTAATATTTGATTGCTTCCACCAGCATCCTACAGCCTGGATTGAGTTACTTTGGAGGTGTTCCTGTCCTAATTTCATGTTTTACATTTTGGTCTACCCCAAGTTTGCGGAATGACTGTGGCCACCTTGTCCCTTTCTCATCTCACTTTACAAATGAAGAAAAGCACTTGTGTGAAGTACTAATGTTTCTGAATGTTATGACAGGATGATCTAAAAAGTATTCTAAGTACTAGCTGAGGGAAGGAAGTGTGAGAAGAGGAAAAAAAGGAGAGCAGGAAAAGAAGCAAGGGTAGAATCAGCATCAAGAGCTGGGGAAATGCTTTTTGCCAGCTGTTCCCCGTTATTTCCTTTGTTCATGCTTCACAACAATATATCCCTCTTTATTAGTAGAGTTCTGTCTTCCTAAACAACAAACAACTAAATTAGCTACCCTGAAATAAGTCTTTGGTTGAGAATGCTTAAAGTCCTGCATCACTGTTTCCTCCCGCCCAGCCCGCAGCCCCTCTGCTTGCGTGCAGGCCAAGTTTTGACAGATGTCAGATGCACATGTGCATGTATTTTATAACCACCACATATTGGATTGTACTACAGAAAGAACAGAGGAGCCGTTTGTGTATTATTAAGCCATACAAAAGTCAGAAAACACAATTCTAAGATCTCACAAGAAAAGGACAAAATTTAAGTGAGATCCACAAATGTTAAATTAGCAAGATGGTTTTTCCAAGTCTTCGAGCTTTGGTGCAAAAGATCAGATAACTTGTATGATTCTGCTGCTACCAACATCATCCAGAAAGACGATATAATTCCCTAATAATATTTCTCAATATTTGTGTCTCTTGTCTGCACCCATCTCTGTAATATGCATGCAGTTCCTGGGAAAGGAAGAGTTCTGTTCTAGTATGGAAAATCAGGCATTTACAGTAAGCTAGTTTAAATCACGTAACTCTTATTAAAGTTAGCCTGTTTTATAATTCATTGGTCATTGATAGAAGTCTGTAGACATGCTCTAGTATTTAGTTCAACTCAGCACATTTTATGGTACCATTCACAGGATTTTCCTCAAAATTTCATGGATTTGGAACAAAGAAGGAAAGACTCTCCTGTTCCCTCAGTTTCCTGAGCCTGAACATCCCACTCTAAGTTATGAGGTCAAGCTGCCTCTGAACACCCCACCTTGCTTGCTGTGAACAGATACACACACTGCACTGCCAGGGCAACATCCTTCCCTTCTCAAATAAATTTAAATAATCTACTATCCAGCCTCCTCTTTTTTTAAACCATGCTTCTTCCTGACCTACCAGTTTTACTGCCTTTTTGTTCAATTTGTCTTATATAGGCATGCCCCTTCCTGCCTGTCTTCCCAAGTACTTTGCACGATCCTGCTTAATCATCATTTTGACATTTCTACTTTTCCATTAGCTGTACCAAACATTCTTAGACTCACATATCTTGGAGCAGTAATTCTAGTAAATAGTTTTAATTAAAGTAGGTGATTCTTCAACATTTTGCCCCATAACTGCATTTTAGGCAGTTTTTCCAAGATGGACCTGCCAGACATTTATTTAGACACAGTATAATTTTCTCTAACAGCCTGGAAAATGTCATGAGACTGCTGACAGTATCTTGGGATCTAGTGAGATGTGATCCTTGCCAAAAGCAAACTGAAAGCCAGAGAAAGGTTAAATGCTCAACCTGGAGCACAATGAGTTAACATGATACACATCCTTGTGAGAGAACTCCTTGAAGGACTTTCAGACATCTGATATGGGCCCTGGAGAATCAGAGCAATAAGTGGGTGAGCATGCTTATGCTGGGGAAGAATGGTCTGCTAATACCTAGTGAGCAATCTCAAACCTGATCCTCTTGTGTCCCTACTCAGCCAATCAGCTGCTAATAAGAAAACAGAGCACCTTTGTTACCCTTTGTTACTGTCACATCTAATGACCACTGGTCCCTGTCCCAGGCACTAATATGATGTTCAGAGCAGTGTCCTCACTCAGCATACCAATGTCTCCATGTCTCTTTGAAGAAGAAGGGCCATGCTGTGCTCTGTGCATGGCCTCACAGCTGGGGATAGAGTTACAATGAGCTCTTGTCTTCAGCCTTGCTGACACTGGGGCTGATTTTCCTTCAGACGAAAAGAGTTGGAATGCCTTCACACATGCAGCCTCCAGAGCAGGAAGGCTAAAGTGAGCTTAGAAACTGTTTCTAAAATGAGAAAACTCTGAGATGTGAACTCTGGGTGCAAGCCTGCAGTCCTGTGGAGCTCTGTCCTTCATGTCCTCTACCATGCTAAATTTGTGGGAACTTCAGGCAGCTGTGAGTCGAAAATGATGCCTAGGCAGCTCAGGCTTTCTAGACAACCCAATGAAGGTGGCATAGACAGGGTGAGATTGTTTCACTCCATCTAGCAATGGATGGTGATAGAAGGCAAGTCTCAGCACTGCAGATTGCAGCATCTATAAGACCTCTAATCTGTTGCTGTCTCTTCACTGAGAGCATCACCCATGCTCTAGTACCTTCACCAAGGTGCTGTGCAAGCTCAGCAGTACAGAAGAATTTAGTAAGAATGAGGACCTCCCTGTCTGTCTTCAGAGAGACTGAGTGAGGAAAATTTACCATTGCCTGGAGTAGCAAGTTAAGGGGCATCCATTTACTGCATTTTCTTTTTGCTGCTTTTCTTTCACAGGTATAGAGATGTACTTCTCTCTACTGGAGGAGGAACATTTTGCCTGTGGGTGACACACACACAGCCTGCCTTCTGCTCTTGCAGTACTTCAGCACATGTTATACAGTCATTAGCATCAGACCAAGCCCTGAAAAACATCTGGCCCTCACAGCAGACCTTGCTGCAAGGTGAATGAGCTCAAAATGGCTCCAGCTAGAATGAGGGAAACCTGTTATGCAAGAGTAGGAAATGAAGAGGAGTCCTAAAACTGTGCCTAGAGAAAAACCCACCTGTTCTGCAGACCATCTTTTCCTGTCCTTCTGTAAAAGACTCTGAACTGCTGCCCGAGTTAGGAGTACAGTAAAGAGGAACTTATGAGATAAATTCTTCATTCCTTAAAACTGAGTATCAGTTTCAGCTCTGTGATCCCAGCTTTGCATATTCACAGATTCAGAATGTGTCCTCATTTCATACTTTCTGGAATGTCGTGGAAGCTGTAGGTATTACACGGTGCACACTGAGAGCTTAGCGACCACCGATGTGGCTCTTATTATCCTTGCTGAAATGACAACACAGCTGCTTCCTGTGTATGACAAATGGGCTTCTTTCAGGCGGGGGTGGGGTTAAAAGAGGTGATTTGGAGATACTGGCCAACTGCGCGAACTTTGCAACATCTGGGTAAAGTCAAACAATTCAGCTGGATTTGGCTAAGAAGGGCTGTGCAGCTTGAGTGTTGCAGGAGGGGTATCTCTGCCTTCTGCAGGGTGGTTGAACCTAGACTCCAGTTCAGCAAGCTCCTGTATCCCTGCAAGATTTTCCTTTCACTCCCTAAGTGCCAGATATGTTTGCAAGATTGAAACAATTCAGTATCCTATCCTCCCTCAAAGGGGAACTGCATGTCTATTTTGCCATGTACACGTACCCATTTCCAAAAGGGAGGTATTTAGAGTCAAGTCAGTGACAGAGCCTGGATTTAATTAAGCTGTCAGTGCAATGAATCAAGCCAAAAGAAAGAATTGCCAGAAAATACAAATCTTTCCTCCCACTCCCCCTCAGCAAGGAGGCTGCAATCTGTGGACTTACCGTGGCAGCCCCAGCCACATAACCCAGGACGGTGACCACTCGCTGCTCTCAGAGGTCACCTGTGTGTCCTCAGGAGATGGCAGGTGACCCTGCTCCTCCTGGGCTTCGCATGCTCTCATCTCCAGGGCTTTGAGGACCACTGAGGAGTTGGTGTTCTTCAGCAGGGCGACGGCCTCACTCCGGCTGACTCCCGTCAGATCAATGCCGTTCACATTCAGGAGGATGTCACCTGAGACCAATAAAGCAGATGATAAAAATCCCCGCAAGTGTTTCCAGAATCCACCTCCACAAGTGAGTCAAATCCATGGCCAAGAACTGGCTGCCTGACGAGGCTTTTTGTTAATCCTATCATTTAACATGGCTGTAAAGCATATATTAGTAAACATGCCACAGGCATGAGGGAAGGGTCTAGATTCCTGTACACAGAAACTTTGCATGGCTGGACAGAGGATTTGTCCTGGTTTCTTTCCACATCAAGTCCTGCATCTGGAGCTGAACAAACAGCTGGAGTCCTGCTGTGCCAACAAGCTTTGGTATTGGTGCCTGTACTGGTCCGGGTCTCTGGAATCCACTTCCAGCTAACATCTTGTACTCAAACTAAGCTTGAAACCTGACAGCTCAGTGATGTTTTTTCTCCCAGCTCTTTCTTAGCTGAGGACTGCCACTCCAACTAGCTCTTCCTGGTTTGCTTTGTGGAATAACATGTTATTATTTTCGTATTAATGACTGTTTGAATGGCTGCAAGCCAAACCATCTTTCTCTATGCCTTATTTATAATATAGGCACAGCAGCTACAGAGAAAAATGCAAAGATGACCTCAATTACTACAGGAAGAACAATAAAGGCATCAGTAATGTCATGCAAGCAGCCACAGTGTCAAGTGCTCTGCTACCCTTCATAGCAGGCTCCCATGCCAGGGCTGTCCTGGGTGCCTTCTGTGCTTGGCCTGGATGCCTCTCCAGGCAGGGATGTATCACTGGGAGCCCAGGCACTGCAATATGAACATTCACCTCTTCTTGTGGCCTGCCCCCAGTGAGAAGGACAACACCCTAAGAGCTGCTCTAAATCAGAGGCCTATGTCACTATTATAACATCACATATTCATTTGTTTCTAATTTTATCAAATTAAGTAGGCTGAGTTTTCCAAGCCGCCTCATGATGAATATTTTTGGAAAGTGTATCCCACTGAGAGGCAGTCATTTCCCAGCAGGAGGAAAGGGGAAACCTGCTGTTTTGCTCCTGTTGTCATGTTCTCACATGGGTTTTGTTGAGCTGACACAAAAAGAAGTTCCCATGTGTGCCAATACTGGGCACTGAGACCCAGGCTTGTAGGGTCTGATTGGATTGCAGCTACTCTGCCCCATTTTTGGGTGCCTCCACTTCCTTCAAACTCAGGATTTTCCTCCAGCTTCCAGGAGTGACTGGACTGAAGGAGAACATAGGGGATGAAGGGTAAGTGAGCTGTGTCATTGCTAGATGCAGGCTCCTGAGGCACTTGGCTCCTGAAGATGTAACATCCTGAAACCTGAGAGTTCCATCTTTCCTCCACTGCCCAGCTATTCCCACAAAACCAACTGATAAAATATGCTCTTCCTCTTGCTCTAAAAGCTTATTCACGCAGAAGGGGAGAAACTACCAGCTTTTTCACTCTGTTACATCAGTAGCTAAATGGGGTTAGGAAGCCAGTGTTTCCAAGACATGATGTTGAGCCACAAGGCACTAATGTGGCTTCTTATATAATAGGGATTTTGCTCCTGTATATTTCATTCAAATTCATGAATGCGATGACAAATAAACACAAAAAAACCCTTTAAATATACATGAAGGCTGCACAACGAATGTATCAGGAGTCTGGAGATAATGCTGCAAGCTAATTTTCCTGTGGAAAGCTATTTATCTTTTTTTTCCTACCAGAATATTTCTACATCCTACTTCACAGAGATGATTACTGCTGCATATTATGCCTTTTCTGGTAGCTGACTTGAGACTCTCTAATCTGACACATCCCAAAATCTGTAGGATTGCTGAAGTTGTCAGAGTGTGAAGCTCTTTCATCATCCCTCAGTTTTCAAAATAAGCTCTTGATTTAAAGCAGGCTTTCAAAATCACCCTTTTTACCTGTTTTTATCCTGCTGTCTCTGCTGATCACTCCTCCAGGTTCCACACTTATCACATAGATAGGCAAATCCCATTCCCTGTTAGATGCTCCACCTGCCACAGTCATTCCCAGTGATTCTGTGTGATCTTTCCGGACAGCCACCACCTTCTCATGACAGGTGACAGTGTGAAGGGTGCTCTGTGATGGAGAAAATAGCAACGACAAACACAGTTTGTGGGCATGGTGACCTCCCTGACAGCTTTGGCATTTTCTATCACAACAAATATTCATGGAAGTAACACCAAGACACTTCCCAGCCACCTGACCTGATTGCAGGCAGGACTCCCCCGGGGGCTTAAGCATCTGCAGTCAAAACTACTACCAAGCTAACTGTGTTCTAAGTCAGGCACTGTTCCCACCAGAACCAGAGTTGTTTTGGTGCTAAGGCTAATAGAATCAGGTTCTTTAAATGTACATAAAGAATTTGATTTTAAAAGAAAATAAAGTTCTTGATAATAATATCACTAGTGGGCATCATATCTTGGATTATCAGGTTGTGTTTATCTTGCTGCTTGCAGTCTGAGCATCATCTGTATAGTTAGTGAGAAGCAGCCCTCTTCAGTTTCAGGAATGAAACCATTGGGGACAAAGTAGAAGAGACATATTTCATTTTCTCTTCCAGATATCTGTATTTCTGGGTAAGTTATGGGTGGAAATACACTTGAAGAATAAGTATTTCTGTTCAGGAAAAGAAAAGGACATATACAATGAAGAGCCAGCAGTTTCCAGGGTGCTCTTAGTGCTTATGTTTGAAGGTCACTTCAGGACAGTCATCCTTATATTTCTGCCCCTGAACAGGAAAATACACACAGCTGGTCATGCAATAACTAGTGCATGAGTGAGGGTGAGACAAAAGCACAGGTGCCCTCAGGATGAAGAACCACTGCAATGCAAGCTCCAACAAAACCTGTGAACTGAATGTCATGTTTACCACGCACTCAATTCTTACAGAAGAGTTCAAAAGGCAAATAAAATATGGATTTAAATGTTAATTGCTTTGCTTTCCTTAAGTATTTTATAACCAGTGCTCCTGGCAATCCCAGCCCCTCTTGCAGGAACAGCATCATCCACTCTAAGTTCATATATAATAGCACGCTTCTAAATAAATTTCAAACACATATTTAAAAGACTCTTCTCATTCACAAATGTGACCTCACATTCATAATAAGCAGAAATAATCTATAAAACTCATCTAAAGCCACATTAATCTCTTCTCAGAAATCTGACATGTCACAAAGACATTTTATGTTGGTTCCTGGGCCAGCAGCTAGGAAAGTGGGGCAGATGAATCCACAACATCTCCTTAAGGGACAATGATGGGACAAAGGAAGATTATGGCAAGAATTTTTTTATGGGAGTAGGGCAGACTATGCCTTTGATTTGTGTGGGTTTTTAAAGGGTATGTTTGGTGGAACTAACTCCACATCAAGATTTCTGTGATGCAATGTTGACAACAAAACACAAGACCTTCAAGAAGCTTAGCAAAGGATTTCTATATGCTTGAGCAGTGTGATGGGTTGACTTAGGAAGAGGAGACTCAGGGGAGATTCTTCCTAAGGGAGTTTCCTCTGTGGGGGTTGGGATACCTGCAACAGCCAATTAGAGGGGGTTGGTTCGCTCCGTGAGCACACATTTTGAGGGGGGTGGTCCGGAACTGACCCTCTTGGTCTTTCGGGCGGCTGAGCAGGTAACATCAACCCGAGCTTCCCCCTCCCTCATGCGGGGGGGGGAGGCTCGGGAGGCCGCTTGGGCCCCGTTTGCCAACGAGGGGGACCCGATGGCCGGGGGGAGAAAAAGTTGTGTGCTAAGACCTTCACGGCTTCCTCCTCCACGGGCCTGCGGCTCTGGCGTGGGGGGAGGCCGACTCTTGCTGCTGCCGGACGGGCCGGGCCTGCCCGGGTGGCCATGAGCAGTGTGGGGCTGCAGCCCAGCCCCAGAACGGCTGATTGACACCTCAGCTGCCCCCCCAGCACGGCCTGAGCCTGGCCCAACTTTAGTAGTTGTGTTAAACTTTAACTCTTTAGTGTTCAGATAAGATTTGCAAAAGCCTCCAGCCTTTCCTTTGAATATGAAAGGGAATAAGAAGATTTCTGAAGTCAGTGATGTAAGAGCTAAGTTTTTAAGATGGAAAGAGAATGAGAAGATGCTGAAATGGCTGAAAATCTTTTTGTGAAATTGTAGGAATGAACTGATGTACTGAATATTCCTATAAACCATGGAAAGAGACATGGGGGGGTGGAAATGTTCCATTTAATAGATGATTTGACTAAAGAGCACCTGTGTTGAGAATTTCTGTCCCGAGAAAAGAAGGGGATTTTGGTTTTCTGAAGATAAAGCCTGAGCAGAGAAAAAAGGACAGAGAGAATCTTTGCGGTTGAACATTTCAGTCTTAAAAGTAATACCCCATGGAGCAGACATGGCCCACATCTACAGCTTTGGGACGGCTGTAGAGTTGGGAGGAGCGTAACCGTTGCAGGTTCCCGGGCGGATGCAAATCGTGAAAGATAAAACCACAAGAGAACTGTCTTTTTCCTTCTTGTGGGAAAAATCCCTACAACTTCAACAAGAAGAGGCTTCTCTCTCCAGAAGTGAACTGAGAAAGACTAAATTAGGCACTGACTGAAGTATTTGTTATATGTTTGTTTTCTTATGAAGATTGGGAGAGGGAGGGAAGGAGTGATCTAAAAAATCTTATTCTGAATTTTTTTTTTTTCCTCCTCTCTTTTTGTTTGTGTCGTTAATAAATTTTCTTTTATACTCTCTCAAGTTTTAGGCCTGCCTTGCTCTTTTGCTCCTGGTTCTGTCTCACAACATGAAAAATAAGTTTATTCAAATTGGTAACTCAAACTCAAGACAAGCAGATTAACAGTACCTGCCACAGAGCTCCAGAAACAAAAAGGCAAAGAGCTCAGTAGAAAGAGGAATTCTCTCAGTCTCTGGGAGAAAACCAAACAACACTGTAGTTTGGACATATTAGACCTGGTCCATGCAAAACACAGACACTCTGTCAGAGTAATTTGTCTTAGAGCTTGCAAACAAACCTAAGAATTTCTGAAGATTTTAAAACCTTCAGAATATATTCTGTTCCAGATAAATTTTACATTCTGATCCAGATAATTTTAAGCTTTCACCTTTGTCTTTAGGGTGTAAATATTTTAAACATAGTAGTTCTATCTTTATGCAAATTAAACTTAATGTTTCATCCATGTTTTGCAAAAATACCCTTTTTCCCTTGAAAAGGAATGGCTTTCCATCAGGAAAAGGCCACTTCCGGAAACATGGGATATGGGCGCTATTAATTTTCACTAAATTGCAATCTGAAATTCTGTAGCAAAACATGAAATTTGGATTCTATTTGCTGCTCTGAGAGAGCAGTCCTGTTACTTATGCAGCATACATCTAGTCTCAGACAACAAAAACATTAGAGCATTGCCCAGTTTATCACTATTTTTTGAGGAAACAGCACAGAGAGAAAGATTTCAAAGTACTGCTGGGGAATAAATTGTCCTGCTACATTTCAATGAAGACTTATAGAAGTACCAGTACTTGTATGCTGAGCCACAGAGGACAAATTTTCCTTTGAAGCTACTCTTTCTCATGTCCTTTTTTACATGGCTGCAGAAAAGATTTGGGGCAGCTTGACTGAGATGAAGGCAGTGATGAAAGGAAAGTAAAGCCTTTTTTAGTAAACACACGTAGAACTTGCTTGGAGGTAATCGATAGCAAGTAAACCAGTTAAAAGGCAGTGTTTATCAGTGACTGCATTTCAGTGCATTCTCTTCTAAACAATTGTCCTTCTCTGTCATTTTGAAGCGACCTTGGAGGGCAGGAGAAGAAAAACATAACAGTTCATCTCCTCCTCATTTTATTTTTCCTCCTTTTCTGTATATTTACTGGAAAATAAATATTTACAGCAGATTATCACAACATCAAAGCCATGACACGTGTCCTGCAGCAAAAAACATTGCTGTGTCTGTTTGGAAAATGTACTTCACCTGAAGGTTAATCTGCTCATATGGTCAGGAAACATTGCCTGCTCCAGCAACATTTTCTTTACTTTAAGTAGTAGACAATTCATTTGAATGAAGCAAGAAAATAATTCCAATTAAAAACAAGTGCTATTTAATTAATGGCAAAGGTCCCAGTGACTTCAAAGGAATTGAGTTGGGCCTGTTTATCCGTTACAGGCTGGCTTCACAAGAAAGTGTTTGTGACATCTCTTTTCTGAATCTAGGCAGCAGCCAGAACAGTTTGGGCAGTGCTTGCCCTATCCCTGTGCAGAGGAAAATAGATCCATGTGTCCCTGGACAGGACCAGTCTCTTGGCACACCATACACGTGGCATCACTGCCACCAGACCAGGACATGGTCACAAGAGATCATCCTCTTCTTATCCAGAGCCTTGCAGGCAACGTGGCTGGTGGCCACTGGCCTGAAAGAGAGGCACCTCCTCACACCATACAGATGGAGGTTGGCTGTCCTGAGGCCAACAGCTTGTCCCAAAGTGGTTCCTGAGCCACTGCATGAGCCAGCTGCTGGAAACTAGAGTTTATTCTTGATGCTGAATACAGCCAAGTGTTGAGAGCAGATTTCAGCCCATGTATACATACATGCTCTACAGTGAGAGCAGTTTCCCTCCAAGACAGCATTCCTGACCATCTAATATCACCTTCTACAGTAAGCCCAGGGGACAAAAAACACCTTAAAATTAACCAGAATTCAAGGCAGCTAGCAATCCTCTATTAATCACACATAATAAAGCAATCCCACTGATGACAGTAGGTAGCAGACTCATCAAATCACACACACACAGGAGACTCCCCTGAGAGTGAGCTCGAGACAACAAGCATTACCTTGGCTTTGGGCAGGAGTGTGTGCTGCATTAGGACACTGTACAGGCCCTAGGCTTGCAAGCATTATTCCTGCACTAATGTCTATTTAAAATAAATAACACTTTTTAAATCTTTCAAAGCCAGTTTAAAGATCTTGAATTGCAAATTATGTTCAGTTCAACCTTCAGTAAAATATCATAAAATATTTAAACTGACACAGTCATGCCCTATGAAAGGGCAAGTAACACTCCAGTAATGTTTGTATCAGACCAAAAGTCTGCAGTGCCTGAAGCTCATTGTGCCTACTGGCTGTACTGATCTGCTGATCTATTGCCAGAGCATTTTCTCTGAGAGAAGCCCTCTACTACATGCACACAAAGCTGAAGGGAGGTAGCAATAGTTCTGAATTTTCTTTTTTGGCTGTGATCTTCCCTGGAAAGTGTCCAAATGGTGGCATTGGACAGAAGCCCACAGCAGTACACCCACTCATGTGCTTATGCAGTACTCATCTCTTGTGGAAAACTGGAAATTCCCCTAAAAACTGTGACCTATCCAACAAGAGATAATTTGTTAGTCTTTAAAGGACTGTTACAAAGCCAACATAGTTCTTTCAATCTCACAGCTTCCCAAAATTTTGTTGGACTTACCAAGAACTCCCACCCAATATCTCTTGGTACAGGAAGAGAAAATTAGGATCTCAGGGCAGAGAGAGACAAGTCATGTTCCCAAATAATCCCATGTGGTATCAATTCATTATTCAGACCAACATGGTAGAGTTAGCAGGTGCTTGAATTTTCCCTAGGAAGCACAGAGTAAAGCTAATTGCTGTCCTACACATATCTTCCTAAGGAAATCATTGCTTCATTAGAAAGTAAAGCCTTGGCTGGGCACTACTTGCTGCTTGGTAGTAGCTACTGAACACTGACTGCTTCCTGCTCTAACTCCTGCTAATCTGATCCCACCTAACAAGAGTTGTGATTGTGACTTTGTAGAAGAGGAAAGCTAAAAGTAGATAAATATATACTAGTATTTTTAACATATCAAAACACTGAATAATGTAGTTCTAAAAGACGTGCAAAAATGGGTGTATTTTAACATTTGTAAAATCCAGAGCTAGACTTGCCTCCTGGCTGACAGCTTCACACCTGATATTTGGTCCAGAGGTCCCTTTAAGGACACAACTGGCTATCCATCAAACACGATGAACTTAAGCCCTGCCAGGACACCTCCCTGATCCAGCCCTGGCACCGCTGGCCAGGGTCAAGATCGCATGGGTTTGCATAAGTGGTGACAGTCAGGGTGATTTATGTAAATTACCCAGACATCTGACTTCAGATTTGGTGAAACAGACAAATTCAGTTCCTGCAAGGGCATTTTAATAAATGAGAAATAGCCTAATAATCACTATAATTTTCAAGTAGCTTATGGGAAACTTTCAGGCCAGCATGTGAAAGCTTTTTGTCTGAAGGCTATGCTACAGATGGTGAAACTTTAGAAAAACTTTTCTTTTTGTTGGAGTGCATTTTCCTCTGCTGGTCAGATCTGTGGCCATGGCCAGGACACTGTGTGCACATCAGCACCTTCCCCACCACTGCCCATTGCCTTCTCTTTGCCTCCCCACGCCAGGCAGAGTCAGGGCAGAACCGGTGGATAAATAAAGACAGCACAGCTTTAGAGTTTCCATTGCCAAGTAAGACATGCTTTTTCTGGTGACAGAAACCAGAGGTAACACCCTGAGACATGAAACAACTGCTGCCCTCCCATTCCCCTGTCCCATGCATGGCAGGGAAACCACACAAGCGTGCTCACCTTGCCGGGGGTGTTTCTCTCGGCGGGACAGGGCTGGGAGCTGCCAGCGCTGTAAGTCCAGCCCGTCTCCTGCAGGAGGTCGGGGGTCTGCTGCCTGGTCTGCCGCGACACCACGAAATGAACCTGCTTCTCGCTGGCCTGCAGGAGGAGGCACAGAGTGAATCCCACAGCCCCAGAGCAACAAACCCCTGCATCTTAGCCCCAGAGTGTCTGTGAAATGCAGGAACCGCTTAATGGCTGGATTTCCCATTAATGAGGTTGCTATGACATAAAGCAGTAGCATTAGTTCAGGTCAATGAAGTTCGTAAAGGTTTACAGCTATCTAATATTCCTCTTGAAAATTTGGTGTTAGCTCTAAAAAATCCTTTCTACCTGCCCCAAATTTGGCTGGAAGCAGTGATCCACCACAGTGAGTGCTGATCAGGTCCCACCTATACTTGTGTAAACCACTACAAAGCAGCAATTTGCCAGCCATGGTAGAGAGACAGACAGAGAACCAAAGCTGTTGCTGCCCAGTGGATGGGAAAGCTGAAAAATGAACCTGATGTCAGGTATGTGCTTACACCCTGCCCAGTGAAAGTGGGGAATAAACAATGTAACTAACCCCACCTGCCTGCAATGAGCATGACAAATAGAAGGAAGCTTAAAGAAAGGGAGAAAAGGGATTTTATTTTGTGCAACAGAGCACAGAGAAAGAGGGTGGGCATTAACAAGTACACAGGGCAATGGAGTTTAGGATGAAAAAGTAGTTCAAACTCTCACTCTAGGAAGAGCAGCTTCAAAAGCAAATAACCCAAGCTCAAAGATCTTCTAGGCCTTTTTTCACAATGCAGTCAGAATATTTGTGTGCCTGAGAGATGCTGCAATGCCTCTACTGAGACAATGTTTGCTCATTATTTTTAAGGGGCTCTGTGTGTGCACCTGATATTAGTGTTAATTCTGTGTACAGCTGGTTTTTTTTTTTTTTTTTTTGTTTGTTTGTTTTTTTGTTTTTTTTTGTTTTTTTGGTTTTTTTTTGGTTTTTTTTTTTTTGGTCTTATTGAATCGGCATTGTTTCCCTAGAAACAAATGGCTTCATTTGCCCCTCAGTGAGGCTCATACGAATCTGTTCAAGACAACAGTGATACAAAGATAAAGCTGAGAGGGTGTGGGGTTTACTCGGATTAATCATAGATGCTTGCCATAAACCAATATACTGAACTGAATTGAAGAACAGTGTAGAAATAACCTCAGTGCTACAGAAGCATACTCAGAAGATGTAAAAAATAATCCTCTAATCTCCTTCTCTCTAGGCTAAAGACCTTGCTGTTGTGCCAGGAAGGGAGTGGGTCTTAATGACCAGTCTGCAGAGCGACTCCCGCCTGCTTGCTCTCGGCTTATACCAGAGGAACTGCTCAGTATTTAGCGTGAAGCCCCCCACAGACACATCTGGAGGTCTGATGCCCCAGGGGCAGCAATTACAAGGCTTGTTGGTACCGCAGCCCTGGGGGCAGCAGACGTCCTGGCTCGTTTGCTGGCACCGTGATGTGTCCTGCTCACTGGGGAGAAGCTCCAAGGAAAGATGGCATTGAAAAAGCAGCTGAAAACCAAACCCAGATCCAGTTACACTATTGAAATCAAATCTCCCACAGACAATTAAGAGAAGCCAGAGGAAGCTTCTGGGAATTTTGGTTTTTATAGCTTGGTTTGTCCTTTCTGGAGCTGAATTCAATAGCTGTAGCTGACAATAAAAAAAAAAAAAAGCTTTGGAAAAATGTCATATATGTCATTTTAACTAAGAAAAAGTAAACTACCTCTCCTAAATCTCCAACTTCAAGCTTGAAATATACATGTTCAAGCCATGCTATTTTCAGTGAAGTAAAAAATGTGCACGTCTTTGTTACTTTCCCAGTATCTTGGGGGACGCTATTTTTTGACTAGAAACTCAAATCTTCACAGGTTAATAATATATCATTTGGTACATACACACATATTTCAAAGTAACTTTCTGGGCATTTTTAACAGATCTGGTTTTATGGAATATTAATTCATGGACTCTGGATTCAGCTAGTACCCAAAAGCAGAATTCTGTACGTTGGGAGAAAGGAATCTACCCTCGTCCCTAGTTTTTAACATGACTGAGGTGGAGCTGAACAACACGAGATTAAACCTCCCAAGGGCATGTGGCCTTATGGAAATACAGATTTCTCTAAAACGAACAGTTTCAACTTAACACAACTTCTTTTTGAAATTCATCTGCTGCCACATGGTAAGCTTCAAAGCTGGTTATTTACAGAAAGGTTGTAAAACATGATTAATTCTCATAGAACGACTAGCAAAAGTTCAACAAGAGTCTCTGTTGCAATGGCACATTTGTCTGCAGGCCAGTCAGGCTGAGTAGTTTCTCAGAAGTCAGAGTGGTTTAGAAAGTTATCCAAACAACAAGAACAGCTTTTGTGTTTACATACATATGAAACCCCATTAATGTTTCTACTGATCAGATTATTTATCTCCGATTCATTCTGATCTCTCCCTCCCTCTTACCAGTGGCTTTTCCCACAATTCTTTCTATGTATTTCATGCTGAAGTGAAAATTGAAGAAAGGAGGTTAGCTTTGATACTGAGTAAGAGCTGAAACAATCTACTAGAATTAAAATCTGTTACAGCCAAGGCAAATCAAACAGGAAGGCAGAGACACAGAGGCAACCTCTGAGCATCTAGTAGGTAATTGCATCTTAGAAAGAGGCAGCAGGGCTGATCTTGGCAGAAGCTGCCCCATCTCTCACAGGGATGATGGAGCACAGATATGCTCCACATCACAACCTGCTTGTCAGAGGCAGTTGTGAAGAAGAGCTGTTCATCTGCTCCTTGCAGCTGCCCTGAACTATGATGGGGGAAGGAGGTGAGGAGGAGGGTGAGCATCTGGGGTCGGTAAAGTCTGACTCAGCCCATGTAGCTTGGCTTGATGTGCTCACATGAGCACCCCATATCTGTAACCTTGCTCCTTTTTTTGTCACTCTCATGGAAATCAGATGTGGAATGCCTCACTATTTAGATTAAAAGTGCCACTTCTGACACAAGCCCATGGCTTAAGATGATGTGACAAACAGAAGGCAGCAAATTCTCAAGTGTTATGATGTGTGCACATTCCTAATTAGCACTTACACGTTTTCTTCATTTCAGTTCTTGTGACAGATCTTAGAGCTTATAAACAGACAGACACTTAATCTACTGATTAGCAACTGCTTCACATGTGCTAGTGTATGGTTTCTATAGGCCTCAAGAATCAGATTTGTCTCAATTATTCATTATTTAATAGTCAAAAATAACCAGATTACACAGAAATCTGACAGTCTACTAGCTGTGCTTGGTTTAACAAGCCACTACACCTTTTAGTGAATGTTCTGCTTTTAAAGAAACTGATGGTGTATTTGTAGCTTTCACCACCACAAATTAGAAGACCTCAATGCACTGCAAGTGACATGCTGAGCTCCCAATAGGCAGGAAGGATGCTGTTGAGAAATCAAAGAACACAGTGAAATAGCCCTTCGTGTAAGAATCAAATGCAAAACATTTGTGGCTTCAGTATAAAAGTTTTTCTCTGGCATAACATGGAGACAGGAAAGGCAAATGATAATTGATGAAAAACATAACAAAAAAGACACAGGTTCCAGGAATTTTGCATTAGACAAATGTGATTCATGGAGCTCACATCAATGCAATGTAATCCTGGCTGTGTGGAAACCTGAGTTTCCCCTTTGATGGACTTGTTTAAATTCCACACAGGGACTGCTGTGCATTTCAAGCATTGTTATAAACAACATCCGCTCTTTGGAGACCAATAAGGGCTTTAGTTGCACTTTTAAACACTTGTATGTGAATACTCTTTGTTATCAATCTTTTCATCTCATATGTTTTTTGCTTATGAAGAACTGATGCCTTGTTTTGTAGCCATAAAGAACTGTTCCAACAATAATAGTTTTTTTGGAAATTTTTAATTCCAGACTTGTTGCCCTCAGAGAATTTAAACCTTCCCCCTTCTGCCTTCTGTTCCCAGTTAGTGAACTACATAAGGTAATCCAGAAAGATTCTGGACCAGAGTTTCAAAAACTGACATTATGTAAGGATTATGTTCTTCACCTACGCTATAAACTTCACAATATAAGTTGGCTACAACCAACTTTGAATCTGTGCTAACAGAGGAATCCTTTCCACAAAATGCATGGATTTGACTGTTTCAGTCTGACTGATATTACCTTGATTATGCCTGTCAGAAAGAAGAAGTAGCTGGCCTGATTTGACATCTTGTTATTGAAGCCCATGAAATTCTTCAATATGTGAACAGTTTACATGCCTCTAAATGAAATTCAAAATTGCACAAGTATAATAACGATTATAAATATGAGATAAAAGCAACAAAATATTCTTGGCTTTTTCTTTCTATATTGAATTTTTCTAAAAGCATAGTCTGTTAACAAAAAACCCAAATTGGTTCCAGAAGGAAAATTAGGGAGAAGCTGACCAGTTTTGTAGCTGAGAAAGGCATGAGGGTTTTTTTTGTCTGACAATTCTGTGTTAGCACCAATTTAGTACTACACGTGACTCTAAATAGAGATTAATAAAAACAACAACTACAGATGCATTTTTATAAATATCTGGACTTCTACATACTGGATTTAGGTAAGAAATACCTATAAGGTGTGGACTACCTTCTGTTGTAAACCAATCCACGGGAAATCATTGGGTCTGAGAGGGTGATGTTCATCCTGAAACATGCCTTAGGCTGCTCTGGTTTGCTACGGGGCTGAACCAGAGGGCACTGTGACTCCTTCTGAGGCAGAGGAGTCAGGATTCTGCTGGAACCCATGCTCCAGGAGGCAGGCTGGCATGCCTTCTGGCAGCTGGCATCACTCTGGTGATCATCAGAGTATACAGATGTTTGCATTGATCTGTATATTCCAAAACCTGATGGCAGCAGGCACCTCTGTGAGACTCCATGCCCATGTTCACTCTCCTCCCCACAGTAAAACCAAAGAGCTTTCAGAGGAGTAAATTCCCATCTAACCCTGACCCATTCCCTCTTCCAAATACACAGTCTCAGTGTTTGGCCCCTGCTTTGCAACGGATGGTGCAAAAGCACTGCTTGTGTTTTGCACAGCTCAAAGCCCGTGGTGGAAGTGGGGATGACAAACCTGTATGAGCTGGGCAGCGCTCTCGGGGCTGCCGTAGCGATGGTCGTGCCCATTGATGGCCAGCACGCGGTCATTCTCCTGCAGCTGTCCATCGCGGGCAGCCATGCCACCTTCCAGCAAGTTGAAAATAAACACCCCTGGCTCGTCGGCCTTGCGGACCAGCTTTATTCCCAGCTGCTCATCTGGGCTGCTCTTGTTTAGCACAACATGGAAGCTGTCATCCCTGTTGCAGTGAGCGTCCAGGGACAGCCCGCTGTTTCGGCATCGGTACCTCTGCTCCCGGAGCACCGTCAGTCGGAGCACGTGGCAGGGCTGCTTCAGGATTGACAGGGCGTAGTTGTGAGGCACATTTTTGATGTCCATGCCATTTACCTGGAAGAGAGAAGTGTAAATCAGCATCAGAAAGACAGTCTATTCTGAGTTGGCACGGAGGAGGGCAGATCTGTATACACAGATGTCTTCATATGAAGTGACAATTGCTATTTCAAACTGTGTCACACAGGAGGCCAAGTTTGCGGTGCAGAACAAGCTTCCCCCACGGAAAGGATGCGCTGCACCGACAGTTTCTGTCCTTTTTCTTCCCTTTCCTCCCTGATAGTCCCCAGACATACATGTTTTCATCTTTCTCATTGCTCTTTCCCAAGCTTCAATATCCTTTCACATATCATAGTTTTATTCTACAGGCTTCTGATTTCAAATTGTCTTGCCAGCCTTTCCTTTCACTCCCACTGTTTTCTGCTGTTTCTTTTTTGTTTTATCTCCCGGTTGTTCTAGGTACAGTAAAAAAAAGGTTTCTTCACTAATGAATCTCTAATTACAAAGAGGGAAAGAGCCTCAAGCAGAAGTTTAAATGCCCTGGATATTTACTAACAATTATGCTGATTTACCACACCAGAGAATCAGACTTTCCTTTTTTTCCCAGTGTTTTCCAGGTAAGATTTAATTCAGATGACAGTAAAACTGTGTAACTACCACTATTTAAATTTGGCTGAGGAAAAGAAAGAGGAAAAAGAATTTTCAGTCAATCCCATCATGTTCATATATGAAAGAGTGACTAGTCATTGCACTCTATACTGCTAAATGAAAACCAGTTGCAAGATTGTACTTCCTCACTGGCTAGAAAACCTGAATCAGACAAGTTATTTCCATGTAGCTATACACTGCACAGGTTGAACCATTTAAATATTAAGAAACATCTCCAAAATGTAAGAGAAATACTCCCCAGCATGGACAAAAGCATTTGGCTGGTGTTTGCTTTTTCAGATTGCCTGTGTGGGCATGAAGGGGATGTTCTGCTCCAGTCTGGTGGGGATAACTGCACCCAGAGAGACACAACTCAACCAGCTTTAAGTTGCTCCCTTGGGTACCACAAACAGCATGAACTGTACCAGGATGGGGCTGAAATTCACAGGAATCCTTGGCAAATCCTGGGCAGTCTGTCATGGCTAGGAAGAGCTAGGCTGGGCCCATCTGTGCTACAGTCACAGCTTCCTTGTGCAGTTTGGATGCACCCTGCACAAACAGCTTTCTCTTAGTGGTGCCACTAACTGTGCTGCTCTGTGCTGGCACCAGGACAAAAAGGCTCTCTGAAACACGTAGCTGGGTGATGGATGCTCATCCAGACTCTGCCAGGAACCACCATCAGAAGCATTTTCATTCACTGCTAGAGTGAAGTATGCCCACATCACGATCCTGGGAAATTCCTTTGGCCAAGTCTGTCTGACACAAAGTAGAAGGCATGGCACAACCTTGGCATGCCTCAAGAGTCCTCAGCTACCACTGGGGTCAGCAAGAGCTAGGAAATCATAGTGCCTTACAGGTGGTGCTCTGAACTTCAGGACATCTTTCTGCATGCAACATTGCAAATCTCATAACGATCGACTTAAACTATCTTATTCTTCATCAGGACATTTTTATCTCATACCTCCACAGTACTGTACCTTTAGTATCATGTCTCCAGGCAGCAATCTTCCATCTCTGGCAATTACCCCATCTCGATAAATGTGCTGTATAATAATGTGAACCAAAGGGGTCTCACTGCCTCCCACAATCCTAATGGCCAGATTTTCATGGGGATCAGTACGGCTGATCTTAATGCAGGTAATTTCCCCATCTGGAATCAGGTGATACAACCTGGGAAAACCTGGAAATGCATATTGTAAGGTATTTATTTGACAATACAGCTTTGCTTTGTTAAAACATGCACTGCATAACCTCAAGTACCTGCCAGTTAGTAAAGCTGGGTTTTATGCATGGGTATGATTTATACCAAGTGGGAAGGAAAGGATAGGTAAGCTTGCTGAATGGACTTGAAGGGATCTTTTTACTATTAATATGTTCAAACTTCCTTTTTCCCCCACAAAATACAGCCTTAAACTTTTGATGTAATCCTGACAGATGAAATGTACTTACAGTTACACATGTCAATATTTTAAGGGAATAAAATACATTTTTGGTCATCAGAGATACCTCAGAACCAGGCCACAGTTTTTCACTGGCCCTAGAACAGATGGGCATGGGCACCTCAACAAACATCCATCCCTGCTGTGCCGGGTTGTGAACCCTATCTCACTGGTAGCATCCTACGCTGCCCTGTTTTCTCCATTTTTGGTGTCACAATGGAGGACTGGGCTCTTGCCTTTTATTTATCTTTAGCTACCAAAAAGACAACATTTTTTGTACAAACCAAAGCATACAGTAGTTTCCCTACCAGACCCTTCTCCTTTCCTCACTGCTTGAACTCTCAGAAGTAGGAACGAGTGGCTCTTACTGTGATTTGTCTATTAAAACTACAGTATGCTCAAAGTACCTGGAGAGAAAAATCTCTGCTGGCCCTGGCAATCTGGCTGTGGGGAGGAGGGACTAATGGTGGGCAGGGCTCCTTTTTTGAATTTATAATGCACTGGATAAGAGTATTGTCCTCCAAACCCTACTTTTCAATGGCATGTCTGATTTCACAGAATGTCACTAATACTTTCTTTCCTTCTAGGTAAATTCAAAATTTTAATCCATATTCAGCAGTGAGCAAAGCTGACGTAAAACCAGCAGTGAATTTTCCAGCACAAGCCTAGCAGCATTCAATTATTTTGAATCCCCCAAAGCTGAGAGAAAGCATTTAAACTTTTTGCATGAGAGTCCAATCCAGTGGTTATATGACAAACCTGTAAGTCAAAAAATTAACTGCTAATATTTTTTCAATAACCTATTTTAGAAATGAAAGTACAGTGAGTGTTAATGAATAGTGGTTAATAGAAACTTAACAGACCAGAATCTGAGATAGCATCAATATTTGCTACTACAAAATTAACAGGCAACAAACGAGCAAGGCACCAAAACCTTTTGAGAGAGAGCAAGGGGAAAGAAAGAACAGGAAAAAACATATTGAGAAACACCATATTGCATCCCTTACCACTTCTTTGATCATATGCTCTTCAGGGTGGGAAGCTGTCCTCCTCCACATCTGTAAAAAGCACCTACCAGCACAGACTTCGACTTTGTGGTTTTACACAGGCTTGACAGGCAGTAAAAGTCTGTCTAGATAACTACACAGACTTCACTAACCTAATACTCAACTATTCATTTACCAACCTAATACTCAAACATTTATTTTTGTAATATCAGTTTCTGTGCTAATACATGTTTACTTCAGTTTTGCAGGCAACTTTAATGTCTCAGAAATGGAAGGTGCTGCATTTCTCCCATGCTCCTCTATTTTCTTAATGCTATTTGTTCAGCTTGTGATTTGCTCAGTTCTCTCTAGCCTGAAGGGTGGATCCATTTGATCTAAATCCAGGCCTCAAATGCACAGTTTGGTGGTCTACTTGCTCTGACTTCCTCTGTAGTGCACAGGCACCCAAAAAGAGTAATTCTTGTGCTAAATCACCCTTGGAGGTGCCCAATGTTCTCTACTGCTGTGTAAGAAGAGAGGCAATTAACTCTAGCATCTCAGTGGGGTGTTTAAAGTCAGACAATAAAAGTACTCCTCAAAAATCACCAATGGGCTGATCCCTGCATCAGAATAAGCATGCACATTTCACACCCTCAGTGTGACTATGTAAAAATACAAATGAAAATCAGGACACCTAGATCTGCCCTGCATGCAAATAAATTAATATGCATATATATATTGAAGACTACCAATAAAGTGCTATAATAGACCTACTTCTCTTATGATGACTCACTTCACATCCCAACAAACCATGCTTTTTGACATTCATGTTCATTTTACCATAGCTCATTCTAATAAGTCTTCTAAAGGAATTATCTAGTTGCATTTCTTGTCCACGGAGAATTGTGGACTGAACAAGCTATTTACACTCTCATGTTATTACAACTTAATTGTAATTATCCCAGAGCAAAATCAGGGCAACGTGGCAGTGAACAAGTCTCTACACTTGTACAAGACTTATCTACATCTTTACATAATGTATAAATATAAATAGGTTTCTTTGCATTTTGAACAATGCCATTTAACAAACCTGGTTTGTTAAGACGTGCAGTGGTACTTGGCAGACTTTCAATATAACTTTATGCAGATTCTTTTAGAGGAATTTTTAATATCTCATTTCCTTCTGAAATATGCAGTCCATAACAACCCAAATCTTTCCAAGATGTTTTCCTTGCCAGTATGCAAGTCTCTAATGCTACTCCTTCATAGTTAGCAGGCTATACTGCCTCACTTCCTGTCTTCATTGATTTGTGTTCTTTATCAAATATACATAATAAACAGAAGCATTTTCTCCTCAGATAGGCTAAACAACCAAAATAACTCTTCTATGATCCATTAATTTCTGCTCTCTTCATTGAAGACTTGCCTCTTCTTTTTATCCCAGACATCTAATGTCTGGATCATTTGTCTTATCTACTATCTAGGCAGCTGTAAGTAAAAGGCCAATGCCTATTTTGATAAACTAACAGAAAGTGTGGCAATCTAAACATTAAATGTACACAAATACACTTTTTTTAAAATAAGAAAATTCATAATTGCTTTTTCACCAAGAAGTCTGCATATACTTTGAACAGTTTGATGAAAACTTACCATGAGTATTTCAACATGATGCCATGCCTAGGAAGCAATGTCTTCAAATTGAATTTTTAATGTACAGACCATACCCAGAAAAGGAAGACCCTGCTTCAGCACCTGGTTGTATACAACGACTGGGGCCTCAGGAGCCCAACTGAAAGAACTCCAACTGAGCTGGGGCTTGTACCTTTCCTATATATAAATATATACGTTCTCTTGTGAGGCTGGAGTATCATTTTTCACAGAATCCATTTTCCAGCCCTTAACACTCTTATTGAAAATTCTCCATTTTCTTTGGTCAGGTTTTCCAGAGCAGGAAAACCCAGGAGTATTGCATACCTTTCTTTACCATTTTATATTTCCAGTCCTTAAATATCGAAGAGCTGCTGAATCTAGAAAGAAGGAAACTTTCTGTCTTGTTTTTGGTGATTCGTCCAGGCTTTCCCACAGAGTGTTGTGTTTTTGTCACGGGGGGTTGTATGGAGCATTCTGAATCTGTCAATATAATAAAATGTCACCTGCATTCAGAAAGACTGTGGGCTTTTTTCTCAAGCAGTATTCTCTTAATGTTAGTGTGCAATTTGTATCGATATTTTCACACATTACTTTATGGTAACAACATAGGAGAGACCAGCTTTGCACAGTGAACTCCACTTATCTGGCACAATGTGGGAAACTGAGCATTCATTACCCTAGTGGCCATGACAGTCTATTATAGAATTTTAAGTGTGCTTACTATTTTTTCCCCATAGTTTATAATGTTTAATGGTAGCATTCCTTCAGTGCTCAGGTTTTTGCTGACTTCTGTGCATATCATGCTCCTTCCAACAGTGCTGCCATGAGGGTAGCTTCTGCCTTCATTCCCAGGATTCAATGTGACAATGTGCAATATTTGCTGTGACTCTTGGGTCCAGATTAATCAAAGGTCACTGTAAACAAAGCTTGTATCTGTGGTTGCAAGTCCTCATTTAGATCAGGCAGTCTGACTAATGTGCCAGCTCACTCCCACAAATAGGACCATCTGCAGGAACACACACTCATGCTTCCCAGCATCTGGACACCAGAATTTAAATGAAGCTTGTATAACCTAGTCTTGGAAAATTCATATGTCTATAAGTGTCACATGCCCTTGTGCTGGTGGGGGAACTTTGTTCTGCAAATTTTCCTTCTCAATAGATTTTGATTTATCATGCCATTCTCCCAAAGGTTTGCCATCATTTTGATTTAATGCCTTCCATTAATTCTCCAGCGATGCTTCTCCAGTGGAGGGGCAGGTTCTAATATCTCTTCTTGCTTCTGGACACTCCTCTCACCAAAGCAGTCCCAAAAGAACTAAAATGAAACTGCTGCTGAGTTGACTGTGTCTCTAAAGAGTTGTGACTCTTGTTTACAGCACGCAAATTTATCAGTGGAGGAAATGCTACAATTTCTTTCTTTGGGAAATTTCCTGGCTCAGAGTTCCAGAGCAGAGTGCTTTGAACCAGTTCTGTAACAACTGTTTTGGGAAATCAGAATGGCAACTGGATCAAATCTGAGAAAAATACTGTGGGATTTCTGTGGGGTGCAGCCTCCTGAGACAGAAGTTGGGCTGCACTGTCTTGTCCTGGGGCTGGATAAACCACTTTTTTTTCTGCACACAAGAGAGCCTTAATGCCATGAAAAGGTCGATACCCTCTGTGTTTCACTTACCTTCTTTTTCTTCACGTATTTTTTCAAACACTGAAGTATTTATAATCTATCTATCTATCTAGCAGATACAGAGATACATATACATATCATGTATATGTATGTGTATATAAATTTCTCACAAATATAACAGTGTTCACACTGAACAGTACAAGAGGGAAGCCTGTTCTGTGGTTCTGCCAGTGCCTGCTGGGGCTGTCTTGGTCTTGACTGCTGCAAAGCAATAACAGATGGCAGAACCACATCCACTATGAGACTGAGTTTGACTTTGAAAAACATTTGCCATCCTCAAGCAATCCTAAATTAAATTTCTTTTACAATGACTTGACTGCAAAATGAAATCAATGAATGTTTTTGAAAGTTAAAAACATGGCTCTTTTACTCTACAACTGTATGGAAGTTTTTTAAATTGTACCTGCAAATTCTTTGCTCCTGAAACATTAGCTGGTTTACAACTTGCATTTGTAGATCAGTTTGAGTAAGGAGTATATGTATCTATAGTCTTTCTTGGAACTGAATTGAAGGTGTAAAGCCAAACTAAGAGCACAGTGATACAAATAAGCATAGCAAAGCTGGAGCAGTCTTTGCTTGGAGATATTTTATCTTTTAAGTAGATTGTCAAGGTCATTTACACTAGTAGATCTAGTCAGAAGATATTACATCTTAAATGCATCAGTGCCATAAGCATGTCCCTGTTACCTTCCCTCACATCTCAAAATGAAACTTTCTTTTAAACTTTCTAAACTTCTACTTCAGACCTGGAAAGTTATTTGCAGCTGTAAATGCTGAAATTGCTCTCAGATAAATATCACAAGCTTGGGTGCTGCCTACAGACAAATATTTCTTTGCATGGGATTTTACAAATTAGAAAGTATTAAAAATGAGAAAATCTTAACAGCTCCTTCCCCCACATTATTTCTCATTAGTGTTTGTATTTTTCATTCACCTCTAACATGTTCTTTGGTTTGGAAGTTTAACAGTTCCCTACTGAAAATGCCACAAAAACAGAGAAACAAAGAAACTGAATCGTTTAAATCCAAAATGAGCACATATAACATTGTTTAAACAAATCAAACCACAGGATATAAACATAAATTAGGAAGTAATCTCCACAGTTCAGGATGGCTACCAGCTCCAGGTATAAGAGCATTAGTATTAGAACTGCAACTGTTTCTCTGCTGTAATTATAACAAATACATTTGATATTGTACATCATATTTTACAATGTCCCTGGGTGTAAAAGCATTTTACACTACTAGATTCAGCTTCAAGTTAAGAAGAATTTGAGCACTGGCTCAACAAACATAGCAGCTTCAGACTGAAGACACCTACACACTCTGCATGAAGGGTTGCTGATGGCTAATACTTGTTATGGTGTTCATTTTCAGAGCTCCTTTGACCAAAATACAGGCAAAACACAAATTAAACAGAGATATGTGAATTAAGATGGGGCTATTCTGAAAACTGGAGCCAGGTGAATTATACATTGAGCTTTTCCAGATGATCTTACTGCTCCTTTATCAAGAAGAGGTTATCAGCAAGAAAAGGCTTATATCACTCTGTGCTCATTGTGAGGTTGGTATAGTCTCAGCTTTATTCTGCTCATGAACTGACTAAATCTGGTGAGGAAAGTGGTTAACAAAGAGCTGGTAAGGTGCTGTCTGATCTCCTGGGGCAATGAGTCATGGCTGAGTTGTGTTCTCAGATGGTCCTAGACACAAACCTGTGAAACCTTGGGCAAAGCAGCAGCAGCAGCTTTCTCCCTGGGTATGGGGACCTGTGAAGTCAGGAACCACCTCATTCATTCCCATAGGAGCACCTCCATTCCCAGGAGAGTGGCGTGGCAATGGTGAGACAGACATGCAGGGCTCCCTTTTCTTCAATAGGCAAGACTTTTAGTGAGCACAGGACAGTGCATACAGCAGCTATCCCTAAAGACTGACCAACAGCTCTAATCATAATTCTAGCTGCAGACTGCTCAGAGCAGCTGAGATTTAAAAAAAATAAATAAAAGAAGGAAACATACGGAACTGGAGAAGAAAACCATCCCCCAGCTGGCAGGATGATGACAACTGCTACAAAAATAAGTACTTTCATTTCTTCTTCCAAGAAGAAGAAGCAGAGAAAGCATTTGAGTTGCTATACACAAAGCACCTGTTGCAAAGGACTGAATAGAAATCTTTGTTCAAGTTCTATTTGTATTGCTTCAAGTTACTTGCTCACATTTTTTTAAAGATCAAATTCCAGAACTGTGTAATCAAAATGCATTCTTTGCAAATGTAATTAATAAAGTAATTTAAGTACCCAGCTTCTGTGATCTCATACTTAAGAGTAACTGCTTATTAAGTAATTATATGCCTACCTGGTTTTTCCAGTGCAGCAGAATACATTTGGAAGTTTACAGGCATGCTTGGTGCAGAGGAATGAAACCACAAGCAGAGCCAAGGAGAGAATGACAATCCTGACACTGTCAGTGGGGCCCTGGAGTGATTGCCATTATACATCCATTATAGACACAACAATGCTTTTCTTTTGCTGGAAATGTAAAGGCCAGTGCCGTCTTCACACCTTTCTGCCAACTTCTGCTAACATCTGGACTGCACTGGGCTACTGGATAGGTGCTGTTGACATCCAGATTATTTGCACACTCTGGACATGAAGTCAAGATTTCAGTGGAACTATTACCAATGTCAGCTTTATGTCTAGGTAGAAAGTGGTCTGTAGCTCATCCTGAAGAGATGTCTTTTGAAAAATATGAACTTGAAGCATGGAGAATTTCACTCATTCTAAAAAGAGGCAAGCTTTTGCTCACAGTGGATTGAAGAGTTGCTATGGAACAAGAAATTTATCTGCCTGCTCAAACAGAGATATAAACAACTTACTTGCAAAATTTTACTTGGGGAAAAATAATAAAATATTATTTTTAATAATAAAAAATATTTAAAATTATTAAAAAATATAGTACAATTATTCATGATGTTTCCAGGTCAAGGAGTATATTCACATCCCTTTTGTGGAAAAGGTTCACAGTTTTGAATTATCAGGTTTTATTTCAGCTCTATCAGCATGTATGTGAAGTAGGAGAGTAAGTACCAAGAACACAGTAATATAATGAAACTCTCCTGAAGGAATAAGCAAATAAAGCAGAATATTGAACATGGTCCTCTGATTCACCGCTATTCACAATGGCATCACAATGATGCCTGAAAGTAGCATTTGGCAGCCTTTTGTGCTTATTTTGTGTGTGTTTCAATGACAACTTGAATACAGAGCAAAAGGAAGTTGGATATTTTGTATTTCTGAAGCCTGCCTCCAAAACATTTGATCTGGGAAAAGAAATGAGGTGCTGAGGCATCAAGCAAAGGAATAATAAGCTGAGTGAAGACCTTGATTAAGACATTGATTCCCACTCTATCATCACTTCCTCTTGATGCCTGAATACCATTGCTGGTTTCATAATTATGGTCCAAACTGATTAGTAGTATTTGTTTATTGCTTTGAGAATGCCAAATGTTAAGTGTTACTACCTGCCAGACCCCTCATCCCTGACATACATCAGACAAACTTGCCTCTCCCTGCTGTTTAAGAGCAGAGCATTCTTACCCCATCACCTGCCTGGCTGAGGTAATAAAGGAGCCCACAGAAATGCTGGAATAATTACAGTACTTTGCACTTTCATACCATCCTCCCACTGGGAATTTCCAGTGCTTCATAAACATTAGCCAAAACTCATTAAGTTCTTCTAAAGCATGATTATTGAGATCCATTTACTTTAGAGGGACAGGCACATGCTGATGAAGAGACTTGAACAAAATTACAGAGCAAATCAATGACAGCTCCAGTAATAGATCCCAGATGCCCAGATCCCACATCCCGTGGGCTAGATACTGGGCTGGCTGTAGCATGCAGGCTGTTACCAGAACAGGTCCCACACACCCCAGGAATATTCATGCCTGCCAGCCAGTAACATCTTTTGAGAGAAGAAAATAAGGAAAGATTGCGTTTTCTGGTTTGTTTGTTCGTTTTAATCACGCACAGCCCACCACATGAAAGTCACGTCAGTCATGGGTATCCAGTTCCCACGTGGATAGGGCCCTCTCTACCCCGTTTTAAGTGATAACACAAGATGAATAAAACATTACCTTCCTCTCCGGCAGAAGAGTTTCCAACAGTCTCCCTTTCTCGGTCAGTCTGGTTGGAAACAGCACTTCCACTTTTTGTCCTTCGAAGAACACTGAATGCTTTGTTTATTTTTTTAAAAGATCTGCTTCTTATAGTGGAACGTTCAAAGTGTCGAGCTGCAACATCAGGAAAAAAACCAGATCAATACAGTTCAGCAGTTCTGGTCTAGAACCTCAGCATTTCTGCAGCCCTTGACATCTGATGGGATATAACATCACCATCAGGGCTGCCCGTGCTCCACCTTTGCCCTTGAGTCCTGTTGATACTTCAAGGTTGCACCCACCTGAGTCTGGGTACAATCACCCTACCTCAGTCCCACACCCTCGAATTGCCACCTTCCTGTCTGTTTTGCCAACCACATGGAGAAATCTCCTGTGAGTGTGGTAGCCTTGAAAAGAATAATCCTCCATCAAGACAGAATCAACAGCAATTCTGTGAAAAATACATGTAAAAGGGAGAAGCACTGCCCTTCTCAAGCTATACACATTGGACCAAAAAAAGCTGGAAGTCATTATAAACTCTTCTTGAAAAAATCCCCACTACTACTACTACTGCCTCAAAACCTTGCAAATCTTCTAAAGCCACCAATGATTGCTAACTATTTAATGTCAAAAAATGAAAATATTATCAGGTGGGAGGGATCAAGAAGTCACATATATCTGACTCAAGTAGGGCAATACAAAAGAAAAGTCATAATACTTTCAAAACATGTCATTCTTTTCCATCCTGCTAAAGATATCTTTATGTCTGTTGCTGTTTTGTCTGTTCCAGCTCTGCATGCTAGCCAAATACTGTAATCTAATAATACAACATTCCCTCAAACAGACTGCGGCCTCTACATGCAATAAAACTGACAGAATTTATTGAGATTCTGGTGCTCTCTTCTTGCACCCTTCCTTTCCTCACCTCTCCAAACCTTGGCACAACAAAAGGATAATGCTTCTCATTTCCTAGACTTTCTTCATCCCTTCATCCATTTTCCCAACACACAACTGGTGACACACAAGGTGGGCTTTCCACTTTAGCTTCAGAATCCTCAAATACATGCTTTGAACTCACCGTTAACACTTCTGACTCTGGCTTTGGCCAGGCCATGTTTTTCAGACATGACACTCATCAGAGACAGGTGCAGTGTCACAAGGTGAAAGATCAAAGCAAAGTTTCCTGATGCAGCTTGTCCTGATTGTTGTTATTTCAGCAGGTCCAGCTCCTCTGAACTGCACCTTCCCAAGAAGCTAGCGGATGTCCCTCAAGCTCCTCAGGCAATTCTTATGGGTTTTTTCCCTGAAAATACTTGGCAAATGCGAAACACAGTTCCCAAAAGGATTTTGGGTAGGTGCCCATGTCTGTGGGGGTTACTTGGGCCACCAAGATTTAATGGAGACACATTACCCAACTACACCACCTCCCCAGCCCATCACACATAACATTTAATCTTCCAACTGAGCTGACTTACCTAAATAATCTTTCTAAAGATTTGCAGTTTACGTGTGTACAGCTAGTCCTTCTTCAACTTGATGCTGACCCTGGCCAAGTATTTTTTTTTCACCTCAAGTCTATTGGGTCACAGAGTGCACAATTTGATAAACCACGTAAAATGAAAGCTTTTGCTTCCCCCACCCCTTTTTAATTTTTAAAATTTTTTTAATCCTCCAGTGACATATAATTAACAGAGAGGGGCAAGGGGCTCCCAGGCTGTGAAACCATTGTTGGCTCTTACTTCTGTTGCGGTTGCTGCGGTGCAGGTCTCCGGGGCTGCTCCCCAGCTGGCTGTCCTCTGAGGTGGGGCTGAAGGCTGGGTTCACCAGCCCTGGCTCATCTGTCATTAAGGCGATGGCCGCAGCTGCTGAGAGCTCAGGGCCCAGGGAAGCTACTGCTAAGCTGGAGCCGTGGTCTGGAGAGCAGTCCTGGGAACGCCTCTTCCGTTCCTTGGTAAGGCCATAGTGGGATGCTCCTTTACATCTAAGGAGAAGGGAGGGAAAGAGAGACATGACAGCAAGTTGTGTTTAAATGCTGTGTACTTATGGAAATTATCTGGTTCCAAGGACCCACTTGGACCTGTGATGATCATGGTGACCAGTGAAATATGGATGATTAACAAAAGAGAAAAATGCCAGTGTGTGCTTCAAACGAGGTGAGTTACAACCTTACATGGGAAGAATACTGCTGGTCAAGGAAAACAGAGCGCCTCAGCCTTGTGTGTAGTCTTATGTGTATAAATAGTTACTGTGCAAGATGACAAGAATAGTAGGTGGTTAATTAAGCCAGAGGCTACAATCTGTAATTTCCTACTTGCCTCTGATTGATGAAGGAGAGCAGGGTGAGGCCTGACAGCTTCTCTGGTTCTGCTAGTGAAATAAAAGATACCTTACATAGTCCTGCCTCCTGAAAAACCCTCCTGGCCACCAAGGCGGCCACATGTGGAGCAGGGCACTGTGTCTGTAGAGACCAGAGCAAACAATAAAGGGAGGGCTGCAGGTGGGAGCTGAACACCTGGGGGCTGCAGGAATCCAGGCCCCACATGGTGCCTGTACAGACCATTTACTGCTTGAACTGTATCTGATGAATTGTTTTCAAATTCAGCCATAGAGATGAAGTTGCCAACTCTGCTGTTCCAGCTCAGTTGAGACACTAAAATAGACAGGTCATTGCCTTGACAGAAGAGGTACATGTGGGGGTAGGGGGTCCCACTGTCCCTGCAGCCTCACCAGAATCAAGGAGGGAGTGCAGAGCTCCCACCAAGGGGCTGGGACCAGGTCCTCATGCCAAGGTCCTTGTGCCAGCCTGAGACTTCACCAGCTTGGGGACCTCAAACCAGCTTCTAAACTACTTCTGGAGGAAAATCCTCTGTTTCTGGTGGAGAAACACATGTTCCCAAAAGAACTGAAGATGCAGCATTATAAGGGGCAAATTACAATCCTGCTTTGAAACAAATTTACTTCGGCTTCCAACTATCTGCTCTAGATGCACCTTAGACAGCAAAGGCAGGACCATGCATGGCATTTTGTTTTTAAGACTCATGAAAGAAAGTCACTTGAGTGAAATTAAAGGTCACTGTAGTCTTCATGAGTCAGTATTCAATTAAAACTATAAAATAACTGAAAAGACAGAGTGACCAAAGACACAGCACCTGTGACTTCTCCAGCACCACTTCTGCCCAGTGCCACCCACTAGAACCACATTCAGTGCATTAAAAAAATATAAATAAATCTGCCTTTTAATCATAATCTAATGAGCTTGGCCTACTTTCAGTTGCTATTATCCCTTCCTTCACAGCAAAGGCTAACTGATGACTTTCATGAAAGTGCCTTGTAGGACAAGCTCACAGAAATAGCTGCAGAAACCCTTAGGGATAGAAAGCTCTTCGTAATATATGGCATGCACAAAAGGCAATGCATAATACATACAGTACACAACGCTAGTGGGTTAAGTGTCAAGAAAAGAAGTAGTACATTGAACAGAAGGCTTGGAAGAGAAATGATTATGGAAGCAGCTTCTGACACAGAAAGATGATATGAGGAGATGTCATAGAACTCTCTGTATCAGCTTCAGAGCAGCAGTTTAATTTCTATCATGGTACTGACTTTTGATGATACAATTGAATCAGAACCTTTTTTTGGCACTAGATTTATGGTTTACCATCATTTACCTCATGCTGCTTCTGACAACTTTTTTTATTCCCCCCTCTTAAAGAGGGGGAAAATACCCAAACCAAACTGTCATATTGATGCAACTGTGTAAGGGTTATGTATATGCTTTAAGTCTTGGATAGGAATGGCTGTAACAGAAATTATTTCTGAAACTTTTCACAAGCAAAATGAGGCATCTCAGAAGAAAATACTCTTATGAAAGAGAAGGCCAGTCAACTACTGTAAAAGACCAATGAAAAGCTGTTTGAGGCACCCATTGCAAGGCAAGCCTGCAACAGTAATTATGTAAAGAAAGGAAGAGCTCTCCTGCCTCCATTGCAGCAGGTATTTTTCTACTTCTTTCCAGACTTTCTCACTGCCCTAGAACTCTAAACCATGGCAGGATGCTCTCCTTTAGATTTCATGGGAAGAAAAACACAAAGGCCTTTCCCTCTTGCTACTCACCTGAACTTCTTTGACACAGTGTTTTGGAAATCCATCCTTGACATCTCCTTCTTGCAGTAAAGCCACATTTGCTAATCCAGCCCATGAATGCTTGACAAAATAGTTCAAAAATACTCTAAAAAACCAATATAAAGAAGTGGCTTTGGGGAGAACTGTTTGCTGTTCTCAGAAGACAGTCTCTGCCTTACAACAATCTTGCAAAGATTCAGAATATGATAAAAGATATTCCTACTCCTCCTCATTTTATTTCATTAGCCTGTGGTTTTCCCATGTCACTAAAGTTTCAGTGGCTAATACTAGAACACCAGCCTTGTGAATGGCTTCTCAAATGCAGATGTTTTTTTTATTTCATAGGTTCTATGAAGATCAATATGAAGATCAGAAGTGGCTCTGCCCAAAGATTCCTAGTTATTTGGATTCAATTACGGCCTGGTGCCCATCTGCAGTTTGCTGCTACAGCCTTCCCTTTCTGTGGAAATCCTCACTTGCTGCTGCTGGCTGCACTGCAGACACACAGTCAACAGCTTCATTCCAACAGCAACGAACAGAAGACAGCTACTTTGAATGTAGAGAGGACTGACAGAGTTTAAGATGTGGCTTATTGAAGAAGACAAGTTGTCATGATACAAAGCACAAAGCATATCTTTCTAGCTCTGCCAGAAATAGTTAAAGAAGAACCAGAGCTCTTCAAGTATGATCACTGAAGCTTTTTCTTAAATAATTGTGGCAGGCATAAATGAACACAAATCAAGCCCTCTTTCTTCAGATTAACACAGTGTCCTTGAAGAAAAAAAAAGTCCCAAGACCTCAAACTTGTAACAAAATTCGCAACAGCATCTCTTCACTTTCATTGTTTTGCTTGTGCTGACACTGCTGTGATAACAGAAAACAGAAGAGACGACTGTCTAAGTGGAATCATATTTATAGTGTCTAAGCTACATTTTTCCATATGGTCGGATTTGGCTCCCAGAAAAGAGAGTAACATAAAACAGCTACATGCCAGTAGTAATTAGCTCTCTCATTGTGAATATTAATCACAATGCCTGATTTGCAGCTGGAAGAGTGGGATACCTGATTAACATAGCCAGTCAGAAAGTGAACTCAACACTGTCTGCAGGCCAAGGTGAACTACAGATTTATGCTCCTTCTCAGTCGTGCTGGACAGCGAGTACATCCGTGCAGCCGCACGATACTGAAACAATTTGAAGGCCAAACCCCAGAGAGATAAACAGACGTGAATAATCGGTGTTGTTCAGGTCATCCCATTAAAGTAGTGTCACTAGGTGCACACAGGAAACTGAGAAAATAGTTTCTTCTGTTTGTACAGCCTCTTTTATGAAGCAGATATTTACAGCCTGAAATTCTGGCTGTATGAGCTAACCGCTGGGCAGTATGACAGCAGTGGTGGCTGCTGAAATTTCACCCAGGGCTGCAATTCTGGCTGGTATCAACACTAGCAGCCACAGGGCAATCTTTGCCCCGCACCCTGTTCCATGCTCGAGAGAGACTGCTCTCCAGGCTTCAGGAGCAGCACATCCCAACAGCTGGAGCAAGGAGATCCAAAACCCTGTGGCTGCCTTAACTTGGTCCTACATTTGTGAAAACAACCTTCAGTTAAACTCAAGGCCAACAGAAACAAATCCACGTCATTTGAAATTCAAATTAAAACAGTGGTTTGAAAAGAGAGCTCTCCTTGCAGCATCCCTGACTTGCACAGCAAGGGAGGAATTGAAACTAAGATTGAGCTCAAGGATTTCAATTACCCAGGCTGACATAGGGAAAAATGTAAAGCCAAAACATAAGCAAGGACAACTGCATGGATTTTTCACCTCTCTCTTCTAGTGATCTAATAAAACAATTCCACAAGTAAAAAATATATGTATGTGTTTACCCATGGCAGGGGGACTGGAATTAGATGATCTTTACAGTTACTTCCAACACAAACATGTATAATGCATGTGCTCTTAAAAATACCCTGCCTTCTGTGTCACTTCACAATCAATCTCTGTCTGGGCATGGGAAAAAAGTTAATCTGAAGAGTGACAGTGGTTGTGACCCAGGCCTGACACAAATAAACAGAGCAGGAACCCTGCCCTGGCCAGTTCTAGTAGTGTTTTCTCAACCTTATTTCCAGCACCGTTCATATTTTGGAATTGTTTTGCTTTAGTGCAGAAGCAGTGCACACATTGTCAGAATGCAATTAAGAATAACGTATACAAAGCACTTAAGATCGCCCATCATAAGAAAATACTGCATAATGGGCTGTCATTGCTGTTCCAAAGCTAAACCCTGATCAGGGTAGACAACTATGCTTCAGCTATGGTCTCACTGCAAGCAGCCTCATCCCTGTGTAATTTAGTTTTGACACAAGCTGGGGTCCAAAGCATCAACAGTGTGTATCATCCCCCTGTTACACAAACTCCCTGAATGCTCTAGCACTCATAAACTAATTCAGTGGGAAGGATGATGGAGAAACCAAAGCTGATCAACAAGGAGCGTCCTGGATAACCTGGTGCTGATAACCTCGCCTGTGAGACCCTGGTGAGAGGTTCCTGCTGCGCCTGGGAAGAAAGGAGAGATGGGATTTAATTGGAGAGGTTGACTCACAAGAAGGTGTTGACAATTCCTGACCCACAGGAACCATTCACACCATGTGTGCATTAGCAGTGACAGAAGTCCAAACATTACCCAAACACCAACCACATGGATTTCAGGCCAAACACCTAGACTCTAAAGTTTTCTGGAACTCCATCACAAGGGAGTGAAGTGACTTGATCAGTTCTCAGACAGGGCTAAAACCAACTCTTCTGATTTCATTTTTGCCAACAGTGCACCAAGAAATGGAGTCAAATACAAAAAAGAAGCAAG